AAAAACCCATGATGTATGATAGTGGCCCAGCAAAACGCACCAAATCCCCACAAGCTCTCCAAGGCTTGGTAAAATGTTCTGAGCATCCGACAGCCTGGGCGCCTGGCCAAGCTGGTTTTGATCCCGTCTGCTGATACGAACAGCATCCCAAGGTTCGTGGATCCAAGTGCCTTTCCAGTGCTCCGTGCTCCTAACAAAAACATGTTCTACGAAATCAACCCCTCAAATGCAGACTCTGCATGTCTAACGATGCATTGAGGTTAGAAAACAGTCTGCTGGGTTCATCGGACCAAGTGGTCCGTAAAGCGTTGACAAATGACGGGAGCATGTCTCAACAAACAAACCAAACCAAACAAACCAAACAAACGTAGATAATCCCATAGAATCGTCAAAACACCGTCCAAAGTTGTGGGAACCGCACGAGGAAACGTCGAGTTTGGAACAGGACAACCACCAAATTGGCAGAAATGGAGAAGGGGGTTGCTATCTACAGGTCCAAGCGCGCGCATGTGTGACAGGTTCGCCCGGAGGTTTGCAAAGGCAGCGTCCTTTCAGTGTCTGCTTGAACATTCTGACATATTGTAAGTTATGTATCTATATTGTATCTGCGTGATGCTCTGTCTTCTCTCAACTCAACCTGCAAAGCGCGCCTTCACTGAAAAGGCGGCTTGTCACGCCACGTGGCAGGCCTTAGTTGGTTCGAAGTGTGATAGAAACAATGTATATGCACATGGATGGAGCCTGGCGAGGTAAAGGGCAAACTATGGAAATTTTGGAAAATCACCAATGTGTCTGCAAATCTAAGATGTTCACTCACCCGCAACGGCCGGAGGGATCGAAACATCTGCAAAGCACAGTTGGCCTTGTCAATACTTTGCTGAGCTAAGCTGAAATAATTGCAGCTAGGCTGACGTTTGAGAAACACCAACGGTGAGTTGAGCTCCTTTCCTTCCTTCAGGAACCCTTTTGCGGCGACAACTGCCCCCAGAGAAGGCTTAACATGGAAGGTCGTCAGTCTATGTATATTTTTTATAGAATATATGTGCAGAAGCGCTTCTGCAGCGTCATCCGACGGTTGAATCTTTGCAACAAAGAATCGGTTCCAAGAAACAATGTGTTGCAGGATCGTGCAAGTTAATGACCCAAGCCCAGGCTGGAGCAATCAAAGAACATGACTAGTCGAAACTGATGAACTGTCCTGCAAAATAGTACTGGGAGATTGGCAGGCCGGATTGTTCAGGCCATGCAGCGCCGTGCAGATTGCAACCTCCCCAAGCGGTAGCATTCGATCACCCATTCATGCTGGCCGGCGTTCAAGCCTGGACACCACGCACGATGACAGTCTGCCCCTGAGAAGTGCCAAAAGGCTTCAGTAACTGTTCAAGGTTTTTGCATTTGCACAGTGATCTGAGCTGTGCTGTGAAGAAGCTAGTCCCCTCCAATTGTTGGGCGCTGCGATTGCTTCCTTGTCAGGATCAACTGGCAACAGCTTCCGCAAGTCTTTGCGTGAGCACTCTGTCTTTCGTGACATTGCGACACAAGTTTCACCGGGACGAGGCGGGCTTCACCGGACGAAGAAGATATATGGACTCAATCCAACTACTAGTCCAAGACCGAATAGTTGGAACATCTAGAAACACAACAGGCCGGTGACTCGGCAGGCAAAAGCTGGACACAAAAGCTCATCGTTGCTTATTCAAGTTTCCTAGCTTCTCAAGGGCCACTGCACGTCTGTACCGTGCTTTTCAATACTATGCTTTGGGTGCAACTACAGGCACGCCACAGCGGACTCTGCAGCAGCACTGTTCTCTGTTTGAGGTAGCGTCAAGACACTTATATATATATTATACATATATAGAGAGAGATTTGCATACAAAGTCTTGATTAGCAGCATCTTGACTGATATCTGGATCAGCAAAAAGGGCAGCCAAGCCGTGCGTGTAGTAGTTACTTCAATTACTTGGTCGCCCTCTTCCAATCTCCAGCCTGAACCAGTTTGTTCCCTTCTTCCCTCAAAATTAAATTGCAGCCATTCCACAAAAATCAACGTGAATCGTGTCGCGAGGTCTGAGGCGTTTCATGATTCATGAGAGCTTGAATTTGGTTGCGGACTGGTCGACTGGTGTCTCTCATCTTAACTGCCCAGCTGCCTACCCTTTCAGTCATGAACATGCAAATAGAAGGAACATGGTGGATAGGGAACGAGGTTTGTATGTGCAAGTTCTTTCGTGCAAGTTGAAGAAACATCCGTCGAACGCATTATATAACTGCCAAGACAAGGTTCGCAGGCAATGCACAATGTGATGTGTGAGGTGCTATAGCCAACTGCTTTAACAGCAGGTTTTCTGTCCGAATTGCGCAATTCCTTGTTAAGCTCTGTCTTGCTCTTCTTTGAAAGCTGCCGGTTCAGGTAGGACCGTGTATGTAATGGCTCCATCTGGCTCAGTGAATTGCCCATGCCTAAAACTACTGCACACTCCTTTTATTAATGTTGCCAAACAATGCAAATGCTTCAAAGATGTTGGAAGAGAGACTCAGAGACCTATATAGAAATGTGAGGAAAGAAGTGCTTCTGCAAATTGCGCATTGCCCGTGTTGGGCGAATGCCATTGCGTGAATTAAGATCAAATGAATTCAAAACGGCTGCTCCACGGGTCCTTGAGATGCTGGAGCAGCGCAGTTCTTCACCAAATTTGCACTCAGCGCCTGCACACGCAAGCTGCGCTTGGGGCTTGTCAGCCATCTGCAGGAGGGCCTTCATCAGCCCTCAGTTCTGTAGGTTTCAGGACTTCAACCATCCGCTTTCCCATGATGTTCTTCAGCGTGAGTTGGCAAAGGCAAACAGCGTCCACCTCAATGACAGTGCTGTGGCAGCAAGCTGCTTTTTCGCACAAAACTGCTGCCAAAGGCTTTCATCAAGTGTCATCATGCATCTTGGTTCCGGGCACACCGCCTTCTTCTTTGGGCGCCGGCCTCTGGCCTGGCGAACGAGCCAATGAATCCGATGACGACAGAAAGCTCTTCGATTCGGCAGCCGAGGCCACAGCTGCTTCGGAAAGTGGAGGCCACATCATCCTGAGTGGGTTGAAACATGATAGATGACATTCTTATCTTAATATACCGAAACCACCTTTATACAATTGGCTTGGAAAACCTCTCTTGTTGGCCCACAATCTCTGCAACAAAGAGGGCGCTCTAAAGACTGTGCTGCCTGAGTCTGAGGCGAAGCCATGGTGCGGTTTTTTATCAACCAAAGCTCAGCCAGCGGAACGTACTCCTCTTCGAACCTAGTTGCTTAGCTCACTCAGCCCGGAGTATATGAACAAAACTTACAACAGCAGCCTGGTCCGGAGGCATCCCTTTCGGGAGTGGCTTTGCGGCCTCACAGGAGCACCCAAAGCATCAGCGACCGATGGCTTTCTGCATCTATCTGAGACTGATAAAAGGAGCTAAAGAACCTCATTTGATGAGGACTTAAGTTCTTAATGAGAGTATATAAAATGAATGGTGTATGTTGCATCAACAATACGGCACGAGCACTAGGCAACTGACAGACTTTCTGCGGGGGAAATCTGACAACTGCCAATTTGCCAATTTGGATCAATTTGGCGATAAAATGTATGCTTCCGCACTCTTTTGCACACAAATTCAGCATAAAAAGAACAGTTCCCACCCCAAACTGTGCACACAAATCGGCAAAAGAGGGGACCCCACCTACTTCTTGCAGGTGCTACTCTTTTGCCCGGATTTCCACCAGCAGACATTGCACGGCGGAGCCTTAGTCAGACACATCTCCGCACTGCTGCGCACGGGCTTTGCCTGGTTCAGCTCGGTCTCTGAGGACTTCTCGGTTTGACCGGAGGATCAGAGGCTCTGTGAAGAGGAACAACACCTGAGACAGTCTCATGGAACCTGATGAGCCGATGGACCTTGTCAGCCCTCCGGTCCCATTCCCTTTGAACTGAGAGTCGTGAAGCTATCAGCATCTATCAGCAAAACAACAACAGTGCATCCAGCTACCTGTATTGCAAAGGGAGTCTTTTTTTGGCTGGCATCATGCGAGGTTTGACATGAAAGAACGAATCATAACTCGAATCACTGTCAATTCTGAAGGCATGGAGAACGGCTTGGCTGCTTTACGAGGAGTGTTCTTGTTCAGAAGGGGGAGAGTGAAGGCCACTTAGGCTGAAGCTACAAAGCAGTCATCCTTACACAAGAATCCGTGGAAAGCCCCCCCCAAAAAAGCAATCAAGAAAAACAAAAGCGTGCAAAAGCTTCTCTGGCCCTACCCGCAATGCACAGACCCGCTTGCCTGGTGAACTCGAAGGGCGAGTTTGCCCAACTTTTCGAAGGGCAAACGTGGCACTGCCACATGCCACTTCGACCTGCACACTGGGATAAGGGTCCAAAGACTATACAGTATACTTGATCGATTGCACAACTGTACACTGTAGAACGTTTTGTTAACAATGTATGTACTGTTGACCGTGTCTGGTGTCCACACACCCTCCGTTGCTGTGTCGACACTGTAATGTCCATCCCTCTTGGTTCAGCCAGTCTTGTGTCGTTATTCAGGCTCTATCTGGAACTCCTCCACACGAGGCCTCTATTCGTAAACCTTCTTCAACCACGAATCACGAATCCTGCATTTTCGGAGCCAAAAGAGGCAGTCTCCCAATCTACAAACGGCTCGCCCTCTGAAGATTTGATAATCCTCACTATGTGAGGATTGATCTGGACATCATCGTAAGCTCGACGTATCTCTTGCGCATGACGGGCCCATGCGTCTTCATCCACTTCACATGGCCCGTCCGCATTGCAGCTGTGCGCCCGTGCCTTGTCTGTCAAGAATGCCAACCTGTCCAAGGATTTTGGAAAAAACACAGCTGGACCTGAGTTTCCAGGATGGTAGATTCCCAAAGCCATCCAATCTTCGATCCTGTCTGCAGCGAATTCCCGCAAAGACACGACCGTGAGATCATAATGTGGACTGTGCTGAAAATACCAGAGGAAATGCGGTGCCCCAGGCTTTAGCACATTGTCTGCTAGTACAGCACAGCCATCTTTCATCAGTTCTTCAGACTCCAACATGCACAGATCGGTGTGGAAGCGAGTCCCTCTTTGATCAAAGAAAACGGCGTCTGCGGATGCTCCACAACAGGTCTCTTTTAAATGTGGGATCACATCCTCACTGTATCCAAGACAAATCGAAACATGATTGGCTACTCCAGCAAACTCGATAACATTTCGGGCGATAGCAACATGTATTGGATCCACCTCCACTGAAAGCACCTTGCCACCGTGACCTCGCAGCCAATATGCCATCCTTGTGCTCGAGTACCCAACGAAAAGCCCGAATTCAAGGACCAAGGAAGGTGGTTGAGGAGACAACTTTCGAACGAGGTCATCAAGAACCATGCCTTTGCCACCCCCAGCGATCTTCAGCCAGCCGTTCCCATCCACAGAGAAACGCTCGATCGTGGTCACCACTGACCATGCATCACCCTTCTGTGCTGTGCTCAAAACATGTTCCAGCAATCTGCACTGCTTGTCATAGTCGGTCCCACTATGGCCGCGCATGTGCGATGGCAGCTTCCACTTCATTTGCAAGGGTTCGATCACAGCTTCCGCGCCGTAGAAGCCATCAAACAACTGTTGATGCAAGTGCCCGGCAATGATGTTTGTAGCGTCATGATGCAGCAGCTCTTGCACAAGGCTCAAAGCATCAGTCAGGAAACCGTCTTCGGCCAAACGTAGGGCTGCAACATTCAGAATTGCTTGCTGCACGTATCTACACGGTTGGAACCTCGCAAGCACGGACATGACCTGCATTTCCCGGCCTATGCATGGCTGCACGTGGCGGCAGTGATGCAACCACAAGCTTAATGCGCTGATCCCAGGATTTTGATCGAGTTGCTGCAAGCGGTGGAAGACGTCCCAAGACATTTCAGCAGCAAACCCAGTCATGAGAGCACGTGCCACCATTGCCACCACCTTGTCATTATAACAACTGAGAGTTGTTGCATCCATCAAATCACTGAGGCTATGATACAACTTAGAGACAGACGTCTTCAAATAGGTGGCTCCCCAAACCGTGTTGCCCACACTTTGTGGATCGAAGTACTTCAGTTTATCTGCTGCCTCACTGGCCATGAGGTCAGTGAAGCTCTGGTCTCTGTGGACAACTGTAGCACAGGCCCATGTACAGCAAGCAATGTCCTGCGCAGCAAAGCCTTTGATCGACTTCCTGATGCCATCGGTCAAAGTGGTGAAAAAGGGGCCGTCATAAAAAGCGATCGAAGCCAAGGCCCACAGAATGTTCGAGGCATGCTGAGGCTTTACGGGCTTCTCCAGGAGCTTTTGGGAGATGGCGCACATCCAATGGTCCAGGAAAACATCATCGCGGTGCAGCATCGTGCTAAAGGCCCAAAGAGTTGTTGACAAGTCTTGCTCTGAAAAGGTGTTCAGCTTCGGAGCCGCTGCCTCTTTGACTAGACAAAGCACATGTGGCTCGTTTAGACCCAGCTTGGCATAGGACCAAACAAAGTTGGCCGTACTTTGACAGCTGAACTCATGCAAGGTCATTTCAACTTGACCAACAATGCAGACCAAGGCAGGTTCACCTCTTTCCCCAGTGATAGCCATTGACCAAATAAAGTTCGCTAGCTCTTGGGGCTTAAATTCGGTGATCCGAGAGCACATGCTTGCACACAAAAACTCAATGGCCGGTTCATCGGAACCTCTGAGTGTAGCCTTTGTTGTGCCGCAAATGAAATGGAAATCAAAATGATATGATCATGTGTCGTGTTGACTGTGCTGACCGGAACTCTAAGAAATCGAAATGTTGACCATATACCTTCTGAGCACATCCTGGACCCCCTGGCCCATCCCCAACAATGTTATGAATCGGCTCACAACCACCAGATTCGGTTTGCTCAAATGGTATGGCCAATCTCTCTTTAGAGAAACAGTTTCTGTCTTAAATGATGCCTGCATGTTTCTGTGCCAGAACATGTGTGAAACGCCGAGAAGCAAGCGCCCAGAATGTATTGGAGACATGCTGTGGCTGAAGTGATATCACTCCGGCTCGTTGCTGAAGTTCTCGCAATGTAGATGCTACAAAGTCGTCTTGACGGTAATCCATTGTTGCAAGTGCCCAAATGGTGGTAGTTAGATCCTGGCCGCATTTCTTCTTGAGACTTATATATTGCTAAATAGAAGAGATGTCGTTACCATCACCTCTGTGGAAACAACCCTTTAAATGCTGGGGTGCAGTACAATAGAGTGCATGATAGTGCATGTTTATTGTTTGGACAAACAAATAGTCATGTGGGGATGGAATGCGTTGGAATTGCCACGAACCCGATCAAGAGACAAAGGCTTCAAATGCCCAAAATCCAGAATTGGATTAAGTCCTATCCAAGTTCTGTCTAGATGATATATAAGTTATAGTCGATGAAAGACACAACACTGTTCATCAGGTGAGACAGGGTGATCACTACAAAACGTTTCACCGGATAAATGCACTGAAGAATTACATCATGGACATACTCTGTGTGCACAAGATTGCCCAATGGTCACAGCTAGAGTCTAGAGTTTGCAAAAAAGAAACATGTTCAATCGACTGTCCTGGGGTGAAAATGTCGAGAGTCTGCCCAAAGACACCTGCAAGAGTTTGGCTGTCGTCACTTCGTCCTTGTGCCCCAACTTTGCAAAGGCCCAAATAAAGTTGGACAGATTTTGGTTACGAAACTCCGTGACGATGTCAACTGCATGCTCGGCAATCTTCTCCACCAGTTCGACATCTGACAGCGCCAAAATGGCCAAAGCCCAAATAGTGTTTGCACATTCTTGGGGCTTAAATTGGTATATGTTCCTCATCGCAGAGGGCAGCAGAGTTTCAAGAGCACGGTCTTCTGCGACTGCCAAGGAAGCCAATGCCCACATAGTATTTGATGCATCTTGGCAAGAAAAGCCAGAGACTTGCTTGACAACTTCTGACACAAGACTCGAGATCATTGGGACATGATGAAATCGCAAGTGTGCCAATGACCACATGAGGTTCGAGACCTCCTGTGGTTTCAGCTCTTCTGCATGAAGTACGACCTGCTTCGCCAAGTCTTGGAAAGGGAAAAGCTTGCAGCGTAGGCTCGCCAGAGACCAGGCCACATTCGCCAGATTCCTTGCCTCTCCTTCCACTAAGTGTTGAAAGGTCAAGGCACAGAGGCGCTGCCACCGAGCGTCCTTTAAGTCCCAGGTGGATGTAGATCCCTTCATTTTGCAGGCTAAGGCGTGTAGAGCAGTGGAAGTGGCTATGGAGTCCCAGGAATGGCCGCGTTGAGCAACTAGATTTAGAATGCCATCTGGCTCGGCCCTGCGAAGGTCATCGCGCAATACTCGATTGCGACGGCGAGTCTCTCTGGCATAGTAAGAGATCGGTGTCACTTGGATATCTTCGTCTGCCACCTGCCGGGTTTGCGGGGAAGTCGTGTAGTAGGAGACCATTCTGTGCCATCTCTCTCAGCTTCACTGGTGTTGGAGATCTGCTGCCGCCTTCTTCCTGTTCATGCATCATCAAAGGGGAGCTGCATAGCATTGCATATCGCATGGAGGAAGAGTGTGAGGAGGATGTCAATGTGATTTGACCTACTTCACCATCAGTTGGAAACAAATTCAGAACCCAAAGGACAGAAGTCGGGCTGGGAAAACATCTCAAGAAATTCTCCGAGATCTGGCAAGTTTGACACCCTTTCAGCTGCTGGCGAGAGCAGCTGCGGCACAGCATGTTGTAGCTCTCTAGGACAGCTATCACCAAGCGGCCAAGCAGAGCAAAAACACCGTGGCCGCCTTTGGTGAAGCCTGCGTTGCCCCTGGCCCAGGTGTGGCCTCGTCAAACACGGACACTGAAACACTGCAAGATCATGAAGGCTTCATCCCTGCCTCTGACTCCGCATGAAGCACAGCTTCGAACTGGCACAGGGGTGTACTTGTGAAGGTATGGAAGTCATTGCAACCGAGCTGTCCATGAAGTAATGAGTGCAGATAAATAATGATTGTGTCCAATCCGGTGGCCTGCCTGAACTAAGCCATCAAGATTCAAGCGAGGCACTGGTCCAGGGTGGACATCACTCCATCTGAGCCTTCCAAAGAGTGCTGTTGCTGCGGTACAGGAGCCAAGTTAATGATATAGCTTTCCTCCTGTGCTGCAGGTCCCTTCACTGGGCCCCATTTCATTTCATGGAGGGGAACTCAGTCAGTGGACACCTAAACTGTTGAAGGGTGTTGAAGGACTTCCTTGGGCGCACCTCGCTGTCGATGCTTCCTCATCGAGCTCATCTAGGCGCAAAAGCCACAGAATCCGCCGTCACATGAAATGCAAGCTGCTGAATTGTGATACGTACCAGACACCTGCATAGCTCACACGGCTCACTAGTCCATTCAGCATTGGGGTCAAGACGAATGATGCCTGACACCTGCAGATGGGGCGGCAAAACCTCCACAAAGCAGCAAAGTGAGGTATCAAGACTGGCCTGCTTGATGTCAAATCTTGCAAGATACACAATGAGTCACCAGTGCAGTGAAAGGCCTGTGGCACAGTGTGGCGGCGACGCAAGGCCTGACAGGTAGAAGGGTCAGGTTCGTGATTCGTGACAGCTCAAAGTTCAATAAGTTTAATGATATGGAGTAGCAAGGGGTAGTGACACCTACTTCCCCACAGCGAGCATAGTAGAATTTGAACAAAACCATCTGATCAAAATCTATGATGGACATTGACATTAATAATGCCTGAGAATGCGTTCCAACTGCAGAAGTTGGCCGCTTTGTCCGGTGTCCTCAGACCAATGTCTGTAGCTGCCGCTCTGTCTAGCCAGACCATCTGGGAGGAAGGCCAGCAGGAAACAAGTGCCTTGAAGAAGCCAAAAAATGAACAGGATCAAGAAATGGATGGCAAATGGAGACAAGTTGGAAAGTGAGAGTCCACTCTAGATGATTTCCACTCTAGATGGTGGCCAGTACCTCAGCCCTGCCTCTGGCGGCGATGTAGCTCTTTTTGGGCCAAAAAGGATCTAGCCTGTGAGGAAGGATAGCAAGCTAAGTCCAAAGAGTGGACTTAGAAATGTTGCTGAGATCCCCTGAAAGCCGAAGACTCAAGATTCGGCCTTGGTCTGTAGGCAAAGCACTGCATAAAGCTGACCCACAGCAGCCTTCACAGGAGTGGTACATAAATCACAAGATCCAGAATCATACCATTTAGAAATAGATGCGCTCTTTGCCACAAAAGCACACTGAATGCGCAGGAAAATGGCATCTGAACACATTTGTGTTCAACATACCAACGCATCTGCTGCAACCGAGCGAGTGGTGCTGCGCCAAACAGAGAGCACTTGCAATTCTTTGAATCAAAACACGTGAACAGCAAGCCCTTCAAACCATTCAAAACCTTCTACGCATGCCGTACATCATGTGAAAAGTTGTATCTTCAACCTTCTTCATCGGTGTTAAGGCCGGTCTCAACGGCCGTTGTGCCGCGGTTTGGACATGCTTGGACACATCTATTCAATGAGATCCAAAAGACAGAAAACTGGCTAAGCCCCAGGGCTAAGCCGACGAAGTGTCTCGCTTCTCGAGATGCGATTGCATCGACTCAGGCAATCCGTCAGGCAACCCAGGCTTCCTGGGGGCGACCTGTGCAGAAGCGATTGAGCGAATCCTTTTGCCAACATGCCCTGGTTATCCAGTTCTGGTCATTTGCTCTGTAGAAGTTTGGCGCCACACCAATGACAAAATCTGCATCCCCTGCCAAAGACCTGGCTGCATCTCTGTGGATCTTTTTGAGGCGAAGGGGAACTGGCGTGGAAAAAAGAAGAAATAGATACGACCTCATTCACAATCGTTCAGCATGTCGGAGGTCTTCCACACAGCCGTAAAGCTACAGCTAAGCGCAGCTCTGATCTGGTTGTGCTACTTACTATTCGTGCTAGGCCCAGAACTGAGCCTATGATGTTGCACAGTATGGGCGAGATCCGCACTAAGAAGCATGGCCCAAAGTCCCAAATCAACCTCTCTTCTCTTGTGGAGAGAAGGAGGAAGAGACAAAAAGTACCACATAGCCATGGCGCAGCTGTGGCACGGTGGCTCATGTCCAAATCAACCGCGCTCCAGCCTGGGGGCTCCGTCACCCTGGGCAAAACATCAGCAAAACAACGACGGACGACCCACTTCACACTAACGATGATGGATACCTGGCTACGATCATATCAACTTAAGAATACTTAAGGATTCATTAGGGCATCTTGCATAAGGGAAGGTGTGACGCAAAAATAAAAATAAAAACAAAAAACGTTGGTTTTCCTGCATCCTGCAACCAGGCAGGCAGATTCAATTCAAGTGCTCAGAGAGATTCCTTCAGCAAAACTGTGGCTACAGCTGAAGACGATGGACGTTCTGCAGGAACTGCCTGTTACCAAAGCTTAAGAAAGTGTCTTCACTGTCACTGCCTTAAGCAAAATGTTGGATGTTTTTCAAGATCGCCTCTTCATCTTGTCCTGCTGGGGCATCTGCCTTTGCGTTCGCTAAGGATGAGAAATGATATTGAAGTGTACATTATATATTCTATATACACGCTATATATATAAGTAAAAGATTGTGCAAGCAATCACTTCACCTCTCAAAATGAAGATAGAAATTGAACAAGGCTCCATGTTTCTGAGGCATCAGCTCGAGAAAGAATCATTAACACAGGATCACGCTTGCCTTGGCGAATGCTCACATGCTTTGCAAAAGTGATGTCGACATCGCTTGCTTTGGCGTTTGGAGTCCGTTCGGACTAACCGTTAGGAGTCGGACAAAGAGGACATGACCTGGGTATGAAGCGATTGGCAAAGAACCACTTGTCGATGCAGGCCTCACAAATCGCAGAGGGATCGAACGCTACTAGGGACTCCTGGCATCGCTACTCGGAGCAAGAAGCTAGTA